TTATATTTATTTATTAATTCCGAGATTATTCAAGGAATTATAAGAGTTTGCCATTTTGGACAAGCAAGTTATCACATTTCAAGTTATTAGCATTAAACTTCCATTCCTTAAAGATAATTGTTCTTTATTTTGCCTTACTGTGCAATTCCAAATTGTGTATAACATATTCACAGTCGATTCTAAATGTTATTTCTTTTTTATAATCTATATTCACTTCTTAAATTACTTATATGGCGTCATTCAATTGTTCTGTTAATTGTTGATTTGTATGAAATACAGAAAGCTTTTGAAAGTCATTGTGTTGTGAAAATATCAAATAACAACCAACTAAGTACTGCGTATTAAGTGGCGTCTCATTAGTGTCTCTTCGTGCAATTATACCTATTTTGCTTTTGATCAGTTTTAAATTAATGCAAAAATGAACACAAAAAGTTTATAGAAGAACCAGATGAAAATATCGTAAAATGTATTCGCCATTTTTATAAAGTTGGCTTTGATGAAGTAAAATGCATTACTACACATATTCAAGTGCTAATTGTTGAGTGTGTGGTATTTTAGGTTGTCCTTCTCTTCATGGGTTGATCTATTATTTTCAGTTTAAATTTTGTTTAAATATACATTTCGACATAATGCCTGTTTTTTTGTTGTTTTTTTAATTTTAGCAAATAAAAACAATGCACGGAAGTAAATAAAATGGAAATGTGAGAGGGGTATTTCACTGCTTAGTCCTACGCATTTATACCAGAGTTTTAGTTTTCCCAAACTTACATTTAATTATAATAATATGGCTTGTCACCATAACACTGATAGCAGCATTTTCGAATGATCCTATCACGTTTCAAGGATAAAGTATTATATAAAAAAAAGGCAAAGGTCTTCCTTCAATTTCAACAAGCGTGTTTTTAAATAAGAGAGATTACTTACAATTTTGTTTCGGATCTTCAATATTTTTTTCATTATTTCCCTTTATACGTTATGCAAATCACCAACAAATACGTTCTAATTTATAAACTTCCTTTTCCCTTTTTAAATTTCATTTCGTTCGCTTGTTAAAGCAATTCTTTGTCAATCTATAATGTAATATAAGAAATAAAACATTTACATTTAGAGTTGCAATAAACTGTAACTTATGAATTAATTGAGTGCAAACTAAATTAAGGGGTGTATACAGTGTTAATAGTTTGCTTCAGTTCAACAACCTTTCACAAAATTAATGTGGTGGGTGGAGTTATGAACCACTTCTGGTCTATCTCTAGTTATCTCAATTGTTATTGTTTGTGAAACTTATGACTGTTGACAAAGTTTTTACAGTGTTTCATATTCTTCTTTGCTATTTTCATTGAAATAAAGATTTAACTTTCATAAATAGTTTGCTGATTTTATTATCATCCATTATCTTCTTCTTTTTTCTATTTGTAATGTTTGATATGTGAATCTTTTAATAATACTGTCAATATTGCATATTATTACAAAATTTACAGTCAAACGTAAAACAGTTAAAGGGACACTAAATAAATACTGTTCAAAAAAGTTGTTCTTCTTTGAAAAGACATCAACATCAATATGCTTAAAATTTAATTTCTATGTTTATAAATTGATTTTTTTTCTACAAGAAATAATTATGTCATTGTTATGCAGGCATTAGTAACAATTCTGTAAGTATCGAATACTAAGAATGTTAAACAGTTTTATTTCGGTCAAGTATATATTTTTAAAGATACTTCTTGTTTATTCTAGTACAGGTTATAAAAATTGCTATTGGACAAAATTAACAAAAATTTTAAAGATTAGATTACATTAAAAATATGTTGTTATCACATACAACTCACAAAAATTTGATTAAAATTTTGTAAATTGATGCTTAATTAAATTTTTATCACAGATTTTGTAGTCTTGTAAAAATTGTCTCAAAATATCCCGGGCATGTCATACCAAACTACAATCTAAGCGATGTTTTTAATGATCTACTACAGCAATCATAGTAGTAATTATTTATGCAAATGAAATATTTGATAACTGTTATTTTTATGAAAATCAGGAAACTGCAATGACAGTCAGAAAAACGTTATCATTTAAACTTATTTGCATACATATCGTATATAACACACATAAAATATTCCTGTATCACTATTTTAATCGCTTATTGATTTTTTCCTTTAAACATTAAACTGATGTTCATCTTACATCAGCTTTTTAAATGTACTTAATCTTATACCCCACAATTAATAATAACATTGCCACACTGGCTCTGTTTCTCTCCAACTGATAGTTACTTCTAAAGTTAAAAAGTATAAGATAATATGCAAAACATAATATAGTAATTAACAATGAAATATTATACAAATGTGGAAAAAAACAAAGGTAGGTATGGCATATTGAAAACAAGGTTATTGAAACATAACATGAAAAATTTAGTACATATTGCATACTAGTGCAAACTCTAAACACATTCAATATGACACTCACTTTCGTGTTTTCACATGAACAGTAGCGTATGATAACCAAATCTTGACATCCTCCTTCTCCCATCCTCTTAAACGAGAAAAATGGTCAAAAGTAAATTAAATGGATTTAGTAAGGAAGTAAGGGTGAGGTAAACAGCTGCTTGGTCTATCTCTAGTTATCTCAATTGCTTTTAGTTTCGTTACTGTATAATGTTTTGTTATTAATGGTTTACGTCATCGTTATTACGGTTTCCAGGTCGCTGAATGAGAATTACAAAGCACACAAAACAATGAAAAGGTAAAAATTGACAAACAGAAAGAAGAGGAACTACAACAGGTACTTTTGTATTTGTATTGATCCATTCCCAAATAGTAAACTCGCTGAAATATAGATACAATATCATAAATACATGCTTTTTGTGGGATCTTGGCGATAGCTCGGGACCAAACTAAGCTGCAAAAATCTTTACTCTAAAATCCCATTTCAAGATTTTTTATGACATACAATTCGTTATCTTTAAATATTTCTTAGTTTACAGTTTTAATTGGAATAATTGTCACACGATATAGGCTTTAATGAAGAATTTAAAATAATCACGCAGAACCGCGGTGTGTCTTAAAAGGTAAAATTCCTTATTGTTCGTGTAAATATTTCTGTATGGTATTATGCAAATTCCTTTAAAGAAATTGAATGTCACTATCGTTAAGTTAGGAAATATTGTCTTTATTATAGTTTAATTTTGTCCCACGCATTTGTTTCACTTTGCCCAACATCTGACAAAGTAAAATACTACACTCATATTTTCAACAACACAATCACGACTGTTTTTGTAACGTCAGACTAAAATATCAAATTGCGGAAAAGAAAAATATATCAAAGTCGAGCCAGTCACATTTAAAATAATATAAAAAATCAAAAACGTGTTTCACTTTGCCATGGTTTTTATTTGGGATATTAGACCGTGCATCATTATAATTATCACGAGTTAATTGACCGAACACACGTTTATATTATTAGAAATGCTACATCTTATTTCATTTATTTATCGTTATAGATAATGTTAAACAAACCTGTCTTAACTATTACGCCAGCCATTGTCACTCCATTCCAACCTCCAACCATGTTTCAAAGGCTGCATAAATTTTGATATTACATTAAGGTTTGGATTTTAACATACGTGTTTTAGTGTAAAGCTCAGCTCACTTTAAATGCCAAATTCCCTCTAGGATATACAATTAACCTTTCCAAAAGTGTGTTCCGTGTAAACTTTCTTGATCTGTTCTATACCTTACTGAATCTAAATTGGCGTTTTCGTTAAAATATGACAAAAATTGTCATATATAAGATTATGGAAAAATAGATGCATAAATTATAACTATAAATCTGATTTTCAACTGATCTATAGTTCGTTTCGGCTATCTCTTTTATTTTCAAAGTCATACTGATAAACTGAGTAAGGGATCAGTCTAAACAGTTAAGATACAAGAACGACTGTGACTGTGATATCTGTTCTATTTTTGGATTTACATTGAATTGTACATACATGTATTTTGTTTACTTCGGAATTAAAAAGTATGTTATGATCCAAATGCATTATGAAATTAAAACTTTAGGACGCAAAGAATAGAAATAGTGTTATTGGTTGTAATTCCTGATTTCCTTCAAACAAATGTTTTGAGAATTTTAACATTTTCCAATAGCTATAATGCTGCTCTATTTATAATCTGATGTCTAATTATTTTACAATTTAAGATTCAAGGGTATAAATCTATATCTTATGAAATATTTTAATAAATTTTATCAACAGTTAAACTATATTGAAACTATATTGGTTCCAATTATTATATAGTTGATTCCAGAAAAAGTTGTAACATAGAATGTCTCTGTTATTTAATACACATAAACAGAACAAATCGTTCCGGAACAAAACATTATTTTGCTATTTTAAGTCATGTTTTATCCGTTTAGCAATGATTTTGTACATGCGCCATTCGCTTTTAATACTATAAATTACCATATTTATTTCATACAAGCATTTCGGAAGTATATTTTTTTAAAATTCGAACAATAATTTTTGCATAAAATATATAGCTTTATACACTTTCTCATTATAATGGAACAAATTTTCAGTTGCAAATAAGGAGTAAATACTATACACTTCATCTTAGTACATGAAAGTGTTGATTAATTTGTTGATCCTTGGGGATAGCTAGTGATATTGTTTTCTTTAGTTCTAAATACTAAATTTAATATCTGTCGCTAAGTGTCGCTGCCGGCCATGTCGGTGTATTGTATCGTATCTTGGCAGTCTGGCTGCAAAGTATTTGCAATGATCAGTGAGACGACAATATTTTTAGAATGCACAATAAAGGACTAAAAAATTATTTCTGAATTGGTTCTTTCCGTTTTACAAAGTAATTTAAGTGATGGACAACTTAAGCAAAGGCGTGTTTCTGTTTAATTTCCGTTCGTTTGGTCGTATCTCTTCATGACTCACTTATTTTTAAAGTGTTTTAGTTTCGGTAAAAGTAGAATCGTAGAATAATACAAAGGAGTTCAACTTGTACATGCTTTAGATCACATCATATGATGTAAGTGGTGTATATTGTAGTTGAAACTTAACAATTCCATTTTTTCTAAATGAGATATTAAAACAAACGGTACGTATAGCGATATAGTTGGTATATTGACAGTACATTAAAACGGCCGGTATTGTTTAACAATTGTTAATTGTGTTTCGAAGTTGATGGGTAAATATTAAGAAAAGGAAATACAGGTTTGCCGTAAAAAAAACATGATTAACAAATGTGTTTCGAAGTTGATGGGTAGATATTAAGAAAAGGAAATACAAGTTTGCCGTAAAAAAACATGATTAACAAAATATTCTTCGTCATTTTGATTTCGTTGTTTTGTATAAATGAGGGAACCGCCAAAGAAGTGCAGAAAGCTAAGAGCATAAAGAAGAGACTTAATGACATAGAAATTCGACAGAATTTGCAATCTAATGATATACTGGAACTTCAAGAATCTATTGACGAGTTGAACCAGACTTATAACAAAATTGACCAATGCTCGGAAGTTGATTTGAATCGTGATAGACGTCTTAAGGAAAAAACAAACAATCGTGAATATGAAAATAATAACATTTTGTTTAAAGCATTTAAAGAGGAAAAGGCATGGATACGTGCAGAAATTGAAGAACAAAAAAGTACCGTCAATAGAATAGATTTACAGTTCAAAGCCTTGCAGGACAATTTTGACATTTCAATTAACAAAGTTATTGGTAGAGTTGACATCTTAGATAATAATGTTGAATTGATATTAGATAAAAATATCAAAATGATAAATGAATCAATATCAATTATCTCTGAAAGACTGGCATCCGAGGAAAACCGTATGAAAAGACAAATGGCGAAGATCGAAAAACTTGGAAAAGCTGTCGACAGTATAGAAAAAGAATGCAAAAAATTTTCTGTGACATTAAATGACTTTGAATCCAAGACAGATGACAAAATAATGAAAATAAGGGAGATCCTTGCGACAATACCATCGTGCCCATCTAACTGGTTACAGTTTTCAGGAAACTGTTATCATCTTTACAAATGGGAAGCTAACATTGATTCAGCTGTTAAGGTGTGCTCAAATGAAAATGCTTTTGTTGCCGATTTTCAATCTGAAGTTGAATTGCAATACATTAGGTCAATCATAAATCTTGATCAGAACATATGGGTTGGAATTACAGACAGGGAGGAAGAAGGTAATTGGAAATCGCTCAGAAATGAAAAACAAATTGAGTTTTCGTAAGTATAAATTTACATGAATATTTTGTATATATTTTTATTCAATAATGTTATTAAATGTTATGACATTTCAAAGTTATATGAGAGTATGAATTGATAAGTAAAAAGTAAAATTGTTGCAATTTTATGCTATTAGGGTAACATGCTAAAGCAGAACGCCTCCAGATTCATGCTAATTTTCATATAAATTTGAAAATCTATTAAGATTAAAATATTGTTATTTGACCAAAGAAATAATTTTCAGATTGCAGTAATTTACCCACAACAGGTGAAAATACGCAAATATAATCCTAACTGTGTTAGTCACGCACTTAAAGAAACATGGTATTAAATACTGCAAAATCGGTCATAAATGGTACATAACTTGGAAATTATTACTTTTATCTTGAATCGTTTAACTTTTCTTAAAATCTCAGGGTTTTTTCAAGATTGTTTTTTTACATAAAAAGTTAATAATAGTTACTTGGCAACTCGTTTAATTGTTCACTTAACTCTTTTAGAAATTGGGAAAAAGGACAGCCAAATAATTTTTTTGCCGGCTATGACGAGGGCTGCGCAGTGATGTATCACGACAGTGGATTATGGCACGACTATAGATGCAGTCACACTTTTGCCTATATTTGCAAGAAAGTGGTGCCGTTGTAAACATCATACGTCACCTCTATTTTTTAGAGTTTTGTATCTTTTTTTAATTTGAAATGAAACTAAAACAATTCCAAAGAATGAAAAGGTAGAACTTAAATAAGATGTAAATTTAACAGTAAAACTTGAAAATTTATACTTTTGATAGTAACAGTTGTATTAATAATACAGGCTGCTACAAAATGACCAGTTATACACCTTAAAATGTGTCTTGTTTTATCACTCTGATTTTTCAAAAATATATTTTACACATTCAGTGTCTATATTGGTAACACACGTTCCACGTGTAACAATCAACGGGTTGTTGTTTGGACATTAGTACTGTTACATCTAAAATGAAAAGAATTCGTTTCTTTTTCAAGAAAATAAATGGATGTCATAGAGGATATTTGTTTAGTTCAGTGTAAGATCGGAATATATTTCACCGAGTGAGCACCAAAAGGTATATTTCACGAGTGGCGCAGCCACGAGTGAAATATGAACTATTGGTGTTCACAAAGTGAAATATATTTCGATCTTACACTAAACTAAACAAATTTTCTTTTTATTATATGCAAAGAAACGTTTTAAAAAGACATTAAACCTAATACTGAATGAAAAGCGCGCCAAATAATAATACAACGTGACGTCATTTACGACGTCACGTCATTAAGTTGGTACCCAGTACTGTGCACGCTTGTATTCCACTGAAACAAGGTAAGGGGCTTAAATTCAAAACAGTGAAATTATCAAAGCTGTAATTTCACTGTTTCAAACAGTGAAATCACCAGTTTTATATCACTGATATATTTCTATAAACCACCGAAAAGCATGTAATAAATGTATTTAATTGTTCTGATGTACATGTACATACTTTTAAATACTACACTTTAGGAGGTATGCGTTCATATTTTAGAACAAATTTCAGTTGTAAATAGATTGACACTATTACTTTGACCAATAGTCATTCTTGAAGTAATGCTAACAATAAAACAATATAAAACACAGGCACCGCTGTATAAGATTCGCCCTGTATTATGTAATACGATTCAAATCGAAGCTACCAGATAAGAGTATTTTAGTACAGTAAATTGAAATTATCTATTGATCCGTGTTCGTATCAAAACTTTTCATTATTTTTATTTTCAAAAGAAAATGTTATCTTTGTAAAAAAATGTTTGTTTGATGTTTTTGTTGTTTCTTTTTTTATTGGTTTCTTCTCCGCGCGTGCGTGTGTGTGTCATATTTGTATCTCTTAAAGGAACTCCGGTGTGGTTGAAAAAACAAAACAACTAAAAACATAAAAGTTGAAATTCGTATATGATTACCCGGGGCACTTAAAGCATCAAGATATGCCATAGATTTTTATGAAATATACTCAGAAATAGATTAAAATCGTATTTTGTGCTATTCTTTGCCTGATTTTAGTGAAAAGAATTGCAACGGTTTTCAATTGCGGGTCATTTTTAACAATTTGAATTACTATTTTTTGAAAATCGAAGTGAGGCAATGATCTCAAATTTTGCAAACAAGCTATTGGTGTAGACCTAGATCAAATGGAACATTAATTTCTAAAGAAATACCGGTCCGTCGTGTAAAAACAAACCTCAGTGGAGTCCCTTTATATTTTCTTCTCAGAGCTAGACGCTTATCAGTTCACATACGATCTGATTTGAATAATTTTGTATATAGCTCATTTTTGTTACATTTCCTTAGCCTCGGATAACTTATTATATGATAAGGCTTAGAGACTGCTTCTTTAAACTCTAAATATAATGTAAATATATATTAATAAAATGTAGGTCAATATATGTGTTGTGTTGTGTATGTATCCTGTGTATAGTGATCATTGTTTCGGTGCGACTGTTTGTTTGTTTTTTTTTTTGTTTGCTTGACTTCGTTTTACGTCACACTGACACAGTTTAAGTCATATATTTACGTTCCAGTTTTACTGGTGGGGATAGGCCTAAGGTGCTCTTCCGTGCATTATGTCAGGCACGAATGGGCACCTGAGTTAGCTTGAAAGCTTCCTCACATGAAAGAATCCAAAGTCCCTGTTGGGATTCGAACCAACAGCGGTGTTCAGATGTAATAAGAAATTGTGTTCACTACTTTATACTTGTAATGTTATGTGAATTCAATTAATTTCAGGCAATCTATTAAAGGTTATTCACTTTGTAAGATGGCGGTTGTAAGGCTGTTGAAGGCGTTGTTTTCGGTCATTATCATGCTTACCTCATACCGTATTGGTTTGAATAAAGCTGATTGAAAAAATATTGGACCAAAATGCAAAACTTAATAATCAAACAGGATACAATCTGATAAAACTATAAAGGAAATCAATTATAATAATTAATAAACATTCAGTCAGGTTCATCACAAGAGATAAACAGTATGCTGTTTAGTCAACCTGCAGAGATAAACCATCAATAATAAAATAATATACTATGTACAGTCTGATCAAAATGCAAAGATAAGCAGATCTTTTGTAAAACAGTAAATAGTATGGTCAAACTATAGTGATAAATGTCAAATACATTATCAAATAGTTTGCAGTAGCGATAAACATATCTATTGTAAACAGTTAAGAGTCTGACCATACTATAGAAATAAACGTCAAATACATTATCAAAGAGTATACAATAAGGTCAAACAGCAAAGATAAACAGATCAATAACCAGACAGGATACATTCGGGTTAAACTAAAACATATCATTAGCCAATCAATTTAGACACACGTAATTTTGTTATTATGTTTAAACTACTCAATTATAAATCAACAATGTTTGAAGCTCAATAAAATGATGAAACATTTTGACAGATAAGTAAATCTATCTTTAATTAGATATGTCTCTTTTATTAGTTTCCTAATATGTTATTGCAACTATTATGTACAAAGTACACATGAAAGGTTACATGAATAATAATACAGTGGAACCTGTCTAATCCGAACTCGTCCGGACCTGAAGAAAAGTTCGGATTAGAAAGGTTTCCAGATTAGAAAGGTTTCCGAATTAGGAGGGTTTTTTACATGTTTTTTTTTTCATGTTATTTGCAAAAATAGTTTTAGGAAAGAAAACGGGAATGCATTTGAAATTGCAATTTAGATATTTTATTATTGCAGTCTCTTATTGTTCATTTTACTACATGTGAATACAAAAATAAAGAAATAAAAATAAATCAATAAGCAAAAATATTATGTCCTCCAGGGTAAGTTAACCTACGATGTTATTCAGGAGGCCGAGACATGATTTGATATTCGTACCAGCATTTGTCAGTTGTTGTTTACTCGTAGCCGATTCAGCGACTATCCGAATTCACTGACAGTTTCCATTAATTTTCATTACTTAATCACGTATCATTGAATCCTATATACAAAGGATTAAAAGATATCTCTATTGCATTATATCAAAATATTTATAGAAGCTAACGAAAAACAATCAATTAAGCAATTATAGAAGATATCAAGGCAAGCTAAGTGTAATTTTCACACCTTCGCAGATCATACGTTTCACCCATTAATCAAGCGAAATAACACTTATCAGTTTGGTGTATGTTTACACCTGTAATATGTGCGATTATTTGTTATTTTGAATGAAGGTGTGACATTTGGCAAAATCTGTTCGGATCCGAGAGGTAAATTTTAGAGTAAAATAAGAACAAAAATTGAAAAAATCGTCCGGAATTCGGAGTAGACAGGTTCCGGATCCGAAAGGTTTTTTACTATTGAAAATAGAACGAATAAAATCGGGACCGGACACTTCGTTCGGATAAGAAAGGATTCCGGATTAGAAGGGTTCGGATTAGCAAGGCTCCACTGTACAAAGAAACAAAGAATAACAAAGAGATATAGTGCGAACGAGTCAGGTCACAAGCTATAAGAGCTTTAGCAACATACATCCCCAAGACGTCAATGTTTTATATAATTATCATATTTATTCCGGTACTTCTCATACATTGATTTAACTACGGAATGCCGTTAGGGCCATCGCCTATGAATGTGTTGATCTAAAACGCGATAGTAGATAGTACGATGGTGAAAACGCGAAATCACGAAACTACGATGGTGAAAACGCGAAAGCACGATGATGAAAACGCGATAGTACGATGATGAAATCGCGACAGTACGATACTACGATGATGAAAACGCGATAAACTATCGTGTTTTCACCATCGTACTGTCGCGTTTTCACCATCGTAGTTTCGTGATTTCGCGTTTTCATCATCGTAATGTCGAGTATCGCGTTTCAGATCAAACCATTCACAGGCGATGGCCCTAACGGCATTCCGGAATGCCGTTAGGGCCATCGCCTATGAATGTGTTAATCTGAAACGCGATAGTCGATAGTACGATGGTGAAACACGAAATCACGAAACTACGATGGTGAAAACGCGATAGTGCGATGATGAAAACGCGATAGTACGATGATGAAATCACGACAGTACGATGCTGAAAACGCGATAGTACGATGATGAAAACACGACAGTACGATGATGAAAACGCGATAGTACGATGGTGAAAACGCGATAGTACGATGGTGAAAACGCGATAGTACGATGGTGAAAACGCGACAGTACGATGATGAAAACGCGAAATCACGAAACTACGATGGTGAAAACGCGACAGTACGATGGTGAAAACACGATAGTTTATCGCGCTTTCATCATCGTAGTATCGTACTGTCGCGTTTTCATCATCGTACTTTCGCGTTTTCATCATCGTGCTTTCGCATTTCACCATCGCAATTTCGTGATTTCGTTTTTTCACCATCGTAATATCGACTATCTCGTTTCAGATCAACACATTCATAGGCAATGGCCCTAACGGCATTCCGTATTTAACTAGTACGTCATTATGAAACAGGAAAAAATGTCTAAAAAGCATGTACATAGACTAAATTTTGATCTTTCTATTATTTTCACAATGGAATATCACATCTGTGTGTAATTTATACAAATAAAAAATGACTATATTGTTTGAATTTTTCTTTGCAAAATTAATAAAATGCTTACTTAAATGAATTTTCCCTAAAATGCAATATGCACAGTTTATGATCGTAAACACACAAAATAACTAAGTTTTTGGACATAGACATGTTTCATTTTGTTCCATCTAATAACTATCGACTATGTTTGATCAGTATATTTTTCTTGAAGCTGCTGAAGCGTTTGCTTGCCATCCTTTCCAGGATAAAGATATCTTAACAAGAGGTTTCCAACAGTTTTTTGTTTCTCTTTCAAAATACCCAGCAAACCCTTTCTTTCCAATTCCCTTGCTCCACCAATATCCACATCGACAATCGTCTTTTCAAGGTAAGCTGCAAAATGAGGAATGAAACAATAGAAGAAACAATATAATAAATGTTACGCAATTAATTTCGTAAAATGTACTGATACAGACAACCGTATGTTTTTAAAACGCCGATACGTATGATCAAATGTTCAACGTTATATTTAAAATAAAGCCACTGAATGTCTTCTCTGAAGTTTGCTTCTATTCTATCATTTTCTTGACTTTTAATTCATAGCTTTAAATCATTTAATACGTTTAATTTCTTTATATTACTAGATATATTTTCGTACATACATATCTTAAGGTAAATTACAATGTCTTCCGAATTGATGAATGCGGTGGGGACAATCAGCAGATACACGAATCAATCGTTACGGTAAATGAACATTTAAGTTTATTTTACCATCATGCTTGCTTGATTCCAGGATATGTTTTATTCCGTCCAACCCTAAATCCTTACATGTTTTGATAAGGCCACTAAGTTTGAAGCCACAGTCATTGAATATATCCAAAAACTTTTCGCCAGGCCTGGAACTTTTACCTGTTGTTTTAATACAATTTGAACAAATAAATGTAAGTAATTTTATAATCTTAAATAAGAAACTAATGTATCAAGCAAATAATTTACACAACATATATAATAGACAAACTCACTTAGTTTATAATTTTACGACAAAATAGATTTTAGTCGCAAAAAATGGACAATCGCTAGTAAATAAATGTTTGATTGTTCGTTAGTTTCTTATAAAACCACTGTCTTTTTCTTAAATTTTGTCGTGTATCAAACTATATAATAAGATTGATAATAAAATCTTTTTCTTATTCCATATAATAGTCTCGAAAAATTAACCTGTTGAAATTAGGTTACCGAGAATTGGCCAGCTTTAGATTATGAACAGTCCATTTGAAAGTATAAAGGGTTTAAATGTATTCAATACAGAAAATGAGCCCCTAACATTTAGAACCTCGTCAGACTGCAGGGCTAGTCACTCTCTGGTCCTGCTTTTTAAAGCAGCATACCTCTAGATGAGCAAAGACATTCAAAAAATAAAATGCTGATTAAATCTACTTGATCTACTTGTAGGTTAGTGCTTCTGTTGCATATTTTGACTTCAATGTTTAGTTACGTGGAATTTTAGTGCTGTTTACAATGTGTCATTCACTTTCTTTGTTCACTTCCGAATATTTTACTCTATAAAACATTTTTAAAAAGTTCATGAAAACTAGCATTTATCTGGAGGGCTGTTGATTTAATGATAAAACAGGATATAATTTACAGTCCCCTTTAAAGGGACTCCACTGAGGTAATTTGACATGATAGGACTGAGAATATTTTTTTCCAGATAAATGTACCATTCGATGAAGGTTTAGACAACTAATCTTTGTGCAAAATTTCAGATCATTCGCGCACTTCGTTTTTCCAGAATAATTATTCAACTAGTAATAACATAACCAAAAATTAAAAGCGTTTAAACGATTTTCACACAAATCGTGCTAAGAAAAGCATAAAAATTTG